CGGCTTCGCCGAAGCATTCTTGAAGCCCTCCACCCAGTTGATGGCCCAGAAGTCGGAGGCGAGGGAGGGGTGGCAGATGTACTCGTAGGGCATGTAGAAGTAGCCCTTGTCTCCCCACCTTAGGATTTGCGGGTCAACGCAGGAGGAGCAGCAAAGAGTTACTGTGGTTCTGGCATGAAATATTGAAAACCGGAAACGGCCACCTGAACTCGGCTGGGCTACGCCTCTCCCCAGGAGTTGCGGACGATGAAGCACTGCTGGAAGTCGTCGTAGCCGACGGCGCACACGGCGTGGCCGCCCAGCTGCTGGTCGTTCGCCTGCGGCATCACCATTTTGCCGGTCCGGGCAACCTCCGCTGTCTGGAAGCTTGACAGGACGGCAAAGCCGAAGACAAACGGGTAGCCGCTCTTGATGCACATCTTCATCTGGCTCAGGTCCTGTGCAACGCGGGCATAGCCCATGACCCTGCACTTCTGTGCGATCTCGTAGGCCTGCTGGTTGGGCTCCTGCTTGAAGAAGGTCGGTCCGTCGTCGTACTTCCAGACGCTCTCAGGGCAGACGCCCACCTTGGACATCGTCTTGATGCCGTCGCGGATCATGGCCCCAGCATCCTGGTTCACGCTGCCCTCAACAAGGCGCTCGTTGTAGTAGATGAACAGGCGGCTTGGGGTGAAGTCGGCGAAGTCCTGGCACAGAAGAACAACCGCAGTAGCAGAGTTATCCACACCATGTCACATGCACCCGGCTGGCACACACATAGCTACAAGTAATAGGCTCACAGAAACTGGAACACTGGCGAAGACAGAAGAACATGTTTGTACTTAGGCACTCATGGAATAGTTGTCTTCATCAGCATTACAGCTCATGCCACCAACGTAATCGTCAACGCCGTCCACATCACCAACATCACCATAACCATCATCATCATCATCATCACCAGTATCATCCACAACATCATCGACATCACCACCGTGATCAGCCTCGCAACGACAACAACTAGAACACCACCATCAGGCCATCAGGGCCAATGCCAAGGCCAACACCGCCACCACCAGCAGGCAGCAGCAACAGCGGCAACAGTGGCAACAGCAGCAGCAACAACAACAACAACAACAACATCAACAACCACATCCAGTGCAAGCATGACAACAGCAACCACGACGACGACGACGACGACGACGACGGTGACCACCACCACCACCACTGCCACCACCGCCACTACCACCGCCACTACCACCACCACCACCACCACAACAACAACAACAACAACAGCAACAGCAACAGCAACAGCAACAGCAACAGCAACAGCAACAGCAACAACAAAAAAAGCAACAACAAAAAAAGCAACAACAAGAAAAGGCAACAGCAACAACACTTATTGCAACAGCAGCAACAGCAACCACAACAACAGCCACAGCCACAACCAGAACCACAACCACAATCACAACCACAATCACAACAACGCCAACAACCACAACCGCAACAACAACCACAATCAAAGCAACGACAACCACGGCCACAACCACAACCACAATCATTACAACGCCAACAACCACAACCGCAACAACAACCACCACAACCACAACCACAGCCCACAACAGCAACAACAACAACAACAACATCAACATCAACATCAACCTAATCATCATCAACCACGACGGCGAAAACGCACCTGTCATTGCCAGAAAGCAAGGAAACTGCTTTGGCAGTAAGTAGGAAGCACTCCGTAACATGACATTTTTGTCAAACATCCGTGCTCTCGGCCCGCTCTTTTTCTTCATGCAAAGCCTTGTTTAGGGTTTAGGGTTTAGGGTTTCGGGCACTCGCCCCCGACTCTCTACCCCCAGGCCTTGTTGTTCTCTACCTCCATCTTATGGAGGGTGAAGTGGAAGGCCGCGGCCAACGCGTTCGCGGTGCAGCTTCCAAGATGTCCCTGGTCGAAGATGGGGAAGCCACCTGACACTCCGGCTTTAGCGTTCCATAAGGTGGACGACAAGGTTTCTATAAGAGCTTTACGGGATCCACAGGGGCTTTAGGACCCTATAAAGGTGTTAGGGTATGCTACTCCTCCCCGGGGGCTTCAAGGTTCTAGTTCTGTAAGGGTTACCATACGGCGTTACATGGAGCCTGCAATTCTTGCATGCCTGTGCTGCGCGATGATCGATGCTGCTACGACTGCTTCTTCTACAAACTCATTCAAGACTAAACCCTCAACCATAGGTCTACCAATACTCGGAAGTTCCTGAGAAGCTCAACTGGCAGCCGGGTTTCTGAACATAATACCCTACTACTAGTATCTCGCCCATCCTTACTATAATATCGTATGAGTATACTGTCGAGAATAGACTATATAACACTAATATATATATATATACATACATATATATATATAATCAGACTACAAGTTACTATAATCGACCATCATATGCAATCATGTCTGCTGCGCTTGAAACTTTGGCACTCAGGGCTTTTCGGGCAAGGAGCTTCAGAGCTGCGGGCTTCTTGGGCTTAGGCACACTGAACCAGCAGCAAGAAACCCTATGGTCTATTATAGCATACTACAGTTTCATGTAGCATATTATAGTATACTATAGTATATTGTATTATATTGTCGTATATTATAGTATACTATAGCACATTACTCTAATGATGAAACTCTCAGGTTAATAACTCTCGGAGAAACAGCAAGGCGGCTTTCTTCGCAAGGCCTCGAACTCCAAGCCCCAAACCGAAAACTCCAGACCCTTGGACCCCTGAGTAAGGCACTCAAGCCTTGAATCCAGAACCCTCTATTTAGGGTTTAGGGTTTGGGGTCTGAAGAACAAAGTCCTGCAACCAAGAAAGGGGCCCAAAAACATTATTTTGGGGGGGACTGCATACCATGATTATGGTAGAGTATACACCCAAAACCTTTTCCGAATTGAATCTGGCATAAATTCCCCTTGTCTATTCCATGTACTTCTCTCCAAGAAAATCCCCCATGAAACCCTAAAGCGAAGGCGCTACACCTCAAACCCTGAAACCCAAAGCCCCAATTACCCTCTAGAGCCCAAGGCACACCCTCATAAAACCCGACAGAGCACCACCTCCCCAATAAGTCTCGACTTATCTGCACCCCAAACCCTACACCCAAGGTGCACAAGATGCTCTGCCCCCAAACCCAGAAACCCCTAAACCCTAAA